TATATAATTTCTGAGGAAAAAATAAACAATACATACTAATACCTAACTTTGTATTCTATCCGTCTATATCATAAACACATTCACCCTCTCTATAATCAGTTTCTATGATAGAATTTAATTTTCTTTAAAAATAACAATCATTATTTGTATATGCTTACTCCCCAAATTCATCCTCAAAATCTCTAAAAAATTTATCTTTTCCTTAGTACATTAGAAACTTTCCCCTCATATATCTTCTCTCACTTTCATAGTTATGACATTCCAGTATAACATGTTCTATTGTTTCATATTTTCCACAGTAAACACATTTGCCAGTAATATGCTTTTGAATTTTGAAAAGTGTATAATTAAGTCCTGTTTGCCCAAATCTTCGCGGAGCTTGGTGAGTTTCAGACATTTTATCGATTATTCATAAAGCTTATTTTTAAGCTATTATTTTTATTATCTACAAACACACTCTATGGTGTTTAATGTTGGATGAACTGGAAATGCGAATTGAAATATTTTGATTTTCTTCCCGTGTATGAGGAAAATTATGAATAATTTGACAAGAATATATGTCTCGAAATTATGAAAAATATAAAGATCAAAGCTTTCAAACTAAGATAAGTAAGGCTTAGTCCCAGTAAAGTTTGTTTAAAACATCTATATCTTTAAAAATTTAGATCATGAGCCATTTCCCTTTGTGCGTTATTCTTGAATGGTCCCGCCCCCTCCCACACTACAGTGTAAATGGTGCGGACCCATTAGAACCAGTCGTCAACGGCAACGCCGACGCTTAAACTTTACTGTAAAGTACTCACAACACCTGCTATTTTAACCGCGGTTAATTAAAGTGTAAGAGTTGTTAACAATAAATTACTACAAAACGCAGACTTGAAGTCTGAAGAAACTGTAACATATCTATATAGAACAGTCACGAAGGACTTGAAAGGGTCCCTCGCATCAAGGAGAAGCTGTTTTTTGACAACGCGACAGACCGAAAAGGCGGGGTCTGCCAGACGGATTTAGGTAGACGCGCAGGAGCCTTTATATTATTTTAAGTCCTCCTTTACTACTCCAACATCTATTTTAAATGTATATTCATCAATTTTTTTTTGTCAATATCAGGACTAAATATGCTTTTTTTAATAGATTTTGCATTTATAACTGTTGAGGGCCTAATTCTAAGTAAAATGCTTTTTTTT